ATACAAGTAAGGAGTAAGACCTCTGGGCAGTATCAGAGATTAGATCTCCTCTCTGTGGAGCTTACAAAGTTGGCCCTGACCTGTTTCTGTTGCACAGGGGTCGACCCTGAAACTCGGATCTGCCTTCTGATGCGAGGCAGCCATCAAGACCCTGGTCTACAGGCTATGTCCCTGCAGGGCCCAGCCACTGGTCAGGCAGCCTCTAAGTCAAACAGAAGCAGGCCAGCTGGAGGGGCCGTCAGAAGGGTCTGAAGATGGGGTGGGCCCAAGGGTCACCATGCTGTCCTAGAGGCCTCCGTCTCACCTTTTGCTCACTGTAAGGACCGGAGGGCACTTCTCCATCTTTCTCTGTCTCCCTCCAGCCTCTGCCAGTTGACAGCTCCCCACCTCTACACCCTAACTGGTCTGGACATTTCTAAAGGGCTTTACTAAAAATAAGGGAAAACAAAAAGTCAGAACAAAAGAATGTCAGGCAGAACAAAATAAGTCACACTCAGGATATGCACATTTCAGTGACTGTCCCCAGCCCTCCCTGTCCTGACCAGACCTTGGGCACTCTGGTCAGCTGAGAACTGCCGGGCTGCAAGTGGGGGTGAAGGGCCCTCCCTCTTCCTGCTGGGAAACACACCAGCCTAGTTCCCCAGCAACAGCCCAGGTCAGCCCCAGAGGAAATGCCAGTGAATACAGGGAAGACTTGGTCAGGAGAAAGGCACAGGCCTCTCTGACCCTGCCGGCTTCCAGGCTGTACCGGGTCAGGGGAGCCCCAGTTAGCAATGACACCGGTAGCTGGCGGCTGGCCTGACCCCACCTCCAACAGCATAACATGACCTAAGCCGTGTGGATCACTCAGCCAGCTGTGGATGTTATGGGGCCTGTGGACGCAACAAACAAGTGAGCTGTTGCCAGCAGAACTCGCCATGTAGCCTGCTTCCTGTGAGGAAAGCATATGGCCAAACCAAGCCACACCCTGGCCACAGCACAGGTGACCTGTGGGAGGGAAGGTTCTCTTTATTCAACTTGGACATGAGCCTGTTGAAAGAGGGATTGGATGGGACAGAGGGGGTTCTGTGTAGGGACTGCCTGGCACCGACATTTTGCTCTGGCTTTCCTCTCCAGGCAGCCAGTCTTACAGGAAGTGAGGATGGTGTCTTTCCCTGGGTGTCACTGTCACGTAGCCTGAGGACCAACCAGCTTTCCGTTCTCAACCGGGCAGCAGCTGCAAGTGATGGATGTGAAGAGAGTTGTCTACAAGATGCTGGGTAGCTGAGGAGAGGCTGGCTTTCCAGGCCATCGCAGCCCCGTCAGCAACATGACTTTCTCCTCAGGACAGAGCTACCCAGAAGGGCTGGGGAGGGCCTGCTACTGCCCTCCTGCGATGCAGACTTTCCTGGTCACCCTTCACGCACAGAGATGATGGAGTGGCTTTTGTCCTCGGGAGATCTGGCCCAGGAACAGCGGGCATTAGATTCACAGCCCTGGGCCTCGCCACAGGGTGAACAGAGTGCAGGGCCAGCCCAGTGCAGCTCTGTCCCCAGAACTTGTAAAGAGGAACCAGAGCTGGGAGTGCTCAGCCTGGGAGCGTAGCCTCTTCCAAGACTGCTGACCAGGGCAGCCTTGGCAGAAAGCAGTTCTCCTCACTCACACCAACTTCTGGGACACAGAAGCACTTAGAACAAGGGAAATTCATCCTTAAGCCATACACCTCAGCAGCAGATAAAGCACATCTTTATCTTTTAAAATCTGATAAAGAGTATGTCATGTACCCATCTCTTTAAAGCTGCCCTGCATTTCTGCACACAATTTTTGAAGGCCTTAGGAAGTTGACCAGTTTGACCAGGGCACGCCCTCTGCTTCCCTCCTTCCATTAGCACCATAAACCCAACAGCTCCCTGGTAAAGTGACCCATCCTGCTGGGGCAGCCTGTGCGTGCTCCTCAACCAGGGTGTCCTCAGGGCCCACATGTTGGGACAGGAAGTTTGCCTTCAGGGCCAGCACAGTTCAGGTATCCTGAATGTTACCTAAACTGTAAAATCAAATAAAACTAATCAGTATTTAGATGGCCCTGTGTGTGTGTGCACACATGGGTGTGCGTGTGTGAGGGGAAATAGAAAGCAGATTAAAATCGCATGCTCTCCCCTAGGCACTTAATCTGCCCTTCCAGACCCTTCAGTGGAGACATCTCGGCAGTCCCGCTGGTCATAAATAAAGGATAAGCTCTGCATTTTTCAGCAGCCTACTGACTCCTCAGGAGAGCAGCAGAGGAGGCAAACAAGAAAGCCAAGCAGGCAAGAGGCCAGGGTGCCCACGAGAGGACTGGAAACCTGTCGAGAGCCAGGATGCCTATTCATCTCGTGAGTCCTTGGCGGTAGCACCAAGTCGGGCATGCCAGCACTCTTGTGTGACCAGCCTGACAGTCACTTCTTGAATCTCCAGAGCTGTGCGAGCCCTTCTCTGTTCTCAGGGAAGAAGGCTGCCATCCTGAACTGTCAACCTCCAGGCACTCTCTGCATCCTGACTTGACCTGCAGAGGCATAAAGAGAAAACACAAATGCTCATCTCCAGTCCTGGCAGTGTGGACAGAGGAAAGTAGAGAGTCCCCGAAGTGGAATCGCTCCATAGCGAAACTTCAAAGAGGCCTGGCGTGGTTGCAGATGAACAGCAAAGGAGCGGTGTAGAAGAATCTCTCCTGTTCCCCCAATAAATCCACTCTCCTGCAGATTCCTCAGATGCTACTGACTGGCACGGCTGTTCTCCTGCCTTGCCGTGGGAGCAGCAGAAAGCCAGTGCAGTGGGAGAGTTGTTGGTGTAACCCAGTGTCTCCCTGCTAGGTAACTGCTGTTTCTCTCTCAAGCCTACCAAAGAGCTAAAGTCTCATTTGTAAATGACTGGTCATCTTAGAAAAATAAAAGATAGTCTTTTAGAGAAAAGAGGAGTATCCAACATAGGGTCAAAATACACTGAGATTACCAGGTGAAGTGTGGGTGGTTCTTCCAGGAAAGTGCCTCTGCACCACACCCTGGGAGAGTCAACTCCCAGGCACACACTTCTACATTCCAAGGGTGAAGGCTAGAAATATACTTTGTAAGATACCAACAGCTTGTTCATAAATATCCCAACTATCTGCTGGCTTCAGTGAGTTCACTGGGGTTGGATATAAACACAGTTTAAGGAGGAAAAGTCAAATACACAAGTAAACCAAAACATTTTTAAAGGTCATCGAGCCAAACACAGTGGCTCACACCTGTAATCCCAGCACTTTAGGAGGCCGAGGTGAGTGGATTGCCTGAGCCTGTGGGTTCGAGACCCACCTAGGCAACTTGACGAGTCCTCATCTCTACAATAAACCAAAAAAATTAGCCGGGTATGATAGCGCATGCCTGTAGTTCCAGCTACTTGGAAGGCTGAGGCAGAAGGATCGCCGGAGCCCAGCAGGTCGAGGCTGCAGTGGCCATGAACATGCTACTGCACTCCAGCCTGGGCGGACAGAGTGAGACTCCAACTCAAAAAAAAAAACAGGTCTGACTCTGTACTTGGATGACCCTACCTGACTTGTCTAATCTTAATCCAAGCCCCGACTCCAATAAAATTTTGCAAAAATAGGCAGCTAGCACATGGGCCATAATTTGCCAATTTGATTTTTTTTTAATATTGCATTAAAATATCACAGTATTTATATTGATTACTGAGTTTCTGAGTACCTCAAATTTTGTGTGCAAATTGACCTCCCCACCCTAATCTTGGCCCAGGACCTGGCAGATCCTCCTGACCCCCCATTGTCCCTCATAGCAGAGCCTTGTGGCTGGGTGGTGGCCTATTTGCCTGACCATCTTTATCTTCCCAGACACTATTTGTGGTGAGCTGTACTAAGAAATGATTCAAGCCGGGCTCGGTGGCTCAGCCTGTAATCCCGTGCCTTGGGAGGCTGAGGTGAGTGGATTGCCTGAGCCCGCGGGTTCGTGAACTGCCTGGGCAACTTGGTGAGACCTCATCTCTACAATAAATCAAAAATTACCCGGGCATGGTAGTGCGCATCTGTAGTTCCAGCTACTTGGAAGGCTGAGGCGGAAGGATCGCCAGAGCCCGGCAGGTCGAGGCTGCGGTGGCCGGGAGCGGCCACTGCACTCCAGTCTGGGTGACAGAGTGAGACTCCAACTCAAAAAAAAAAAAAAAAATGATTCAGTTAGCTTTTGCACATAACAAACTACCTCTGACACTTAGTGGATCAAAACAACAATTTATTAGCTTTACAATTATGGACACCAGCAATGGGGGTTGGGCACTGATGGGTGGTTCTTCTACTGTACTTTGCTGGATTCAGTTGGGCGTTGTGATCAGAGAGCACCCGAGGGCCTCACTTGTGTCTGAAAGTTGGCCATGGCTTGAACCTTTGGTTCTGCCCCAGTGAGGCAGGCCACTCATCCTCCAGCCAGCTTGGGCTTGATCATATGGTAGCCTCCGGGTTCCCATGACAGGGACAATAAGAGAGATCAAGGCTGAGGCTGTTCAATCTCTACTCGCATCATTGTCACTCTTCTCCTATTGGCCAAAGCAGGTCACATGGCCAAAGCTCAAGTCCATAGGAAGGATGTGGATACAGGGAAGCTGGACAAACAGAGTAGTACTGCAACAATCTACCCCATAGAAGGTGTTCAGGACTGAATCTTTCGGGGTCATTTAACCTCCCTGCAAATACATCCTTTGGGACTTTCCTGTGCCGGGTTATGGAGACACCTCCCCACTCACTCTCAAGTTGCCATCCATCTTGTAGGGAGAATTCCTGGCCTTTGCGATGGCCAAGGTCCAGGCCAGATCCCCAGCCCCAGATTGAAGGAGGCCTTTAGAGACCCATCCAGAGTCGTCTCCTCATGGCATCAGTTGAAGCCTGGGTGAGATCTCAGAAGAGTGGACTATGGAAATAAGAAACTGAAGATAGAACCGGGGCTTTGAGAAAGAAGAAGAGCTGGTGCAGGGGATTCCAGGGAGGAGGTGGAGGAGCAGGGATGCAGCTCTGGAACCCAGGAGGAAAGCAGGACGTGGAGGGCGCTCCCCACGACCAGGCTGTGGAAGAGATGGAGGGGAAGATGGCCCGAGGTCGCCTTTGAGAGCAGTTTCCTTAGAACGTTGGCCAGAGGTCAGCCTGTCCCAGAGCAAGCTAGGCCGCGAGCTGGATACTGAGTGCATTGAAGTCGGAGGGGAGTCCTGAAGAAGGAGCAAGTTGGTTGCATGAGCTGTAAGTGAGAAGGCTGGAGCAAAGGCCATGCAGCCATGACCTTGAGGAGTGCTGGGGACAGGGAGTCCACCAGGCCCTCTGGCGCCTGGGTAGGAAGCAGTAGTGTGTGGCCATCTTGGACCAACTTGCAAGCACTGGTCACTAAATTTTCAGGAATTCTATGAGCTGGTTTTAAACATAGCCATTACCAACATATGTTATATAAACTTACAATTAAATAAGTTCCATTAAAAATAAAGGCAGTAAATACTCAAAATGCTTCATTTTCCAATTATTTTACTGCATTTACTATTGTCTGCCCTGGAGGTTATTTGCATCTCTTGTATCTGGTAGAAATCTGACATAAGTGATGAAGACTAATATGCATGTCTTCCCAACTGTGTGTTCAGTGGCATCATCTTAGTAGCTTGAAACGCCATGGTAGGGGTATCTGCATCAAAGAAATGTGGCAAACGCCACAACCAAAGGTTTATTCCCCCTCGGAGAGCTGGTTGTTAAACATTTATCAGCACACCACTGGCAGAAGCAGTGCCTGATGGTACAGCCTCCGAAGCGTGATGTTGGGTGAACCAGGGGCCATGCTGGGGACAGCGAGAAAGAGCAGGACGATGTGTGCCCCCCAGAGTGGTGAAGCCAGGGGTGGCACGTGCAGTGGACAGGTGGTAGCTGTCTCCGCCCACATCTCTTTCTACTTGTCCTCAGGTCCCGGGTTGGCCCAAGACACTGGCATTCATTCGCCTTCCGGCATCTAACCTGGACCTTCTCCCGGGATTCTGTGGATAACTGAGGGTTTCGTCCGGTTGCCCTAGTGTTCACTGGACACTTTCCTGCTTGGCACACTGCCACTGCTCACACTTTCACTGTTCCTCCATGTCTCACAAAAGCACACCTGCCCCAGAGTTCGTGGGTGTGGAGCTGCCCTTGGTCACCAGTCTTCAGTGATGAGTCACCGCTTTCTGGGAGTAGAGTCAGTAGGTACATAGTTGGACTCCCAGGACTTTGTGGTCTGGTTCTTTCTTTATTTATTTTTTTGAGTTGGAGTCTCACTCTGTCACCCAGACTGGAGTGCAGTGGCCACTCCCGACCACCGCAGCCTCCACCTGCTGGGCTCCGGCGATCCTTCGGCCTCAGCCTTCCAAGTAGCTGGAACTACAGGCGTGCGCCACCACGCCCGGCTGATTTTTGATTTATTGTAGAGATGAGGTCTCGCCAAGTTACCCAGGTGGGTCTCGAATCCGCAGACTCAGGCAATCCACTCACCTCGGCCTTGGCCTCTCAAAGCGTGGGATTGCAGGCTGAGCCACCGAGCCCGGCCGCGGTCTGGTTCTTAAGCAGCTGGAGTGAGGAGCACCAACCAGCCTGAAAGGGAGATGAGTGTGAGACCAACAGGATCCGAGCTGCATCGAACCAGCCTGAACTCAGGCAGCCAAGTCTTTGAGGGAGAAGCCAGGCAGGAGGCAGGGCTGGCGATCCTGGGTTTACACAGAAGGCAAGGTAGAGCCTGGATAACATACCTGAGCCCAGGGCAAGGCGGGGGGGGGAGGGGATGAGCAGGAAGTCAGGGGTCACCATCGCCACTCTGGGCCAAAGGCTAACTTGAAGGGCCACTCCAGGGGGGCAGCATGACTAAAGGACTTGCCCAGCCCTTGACCCAGGGCTGGAGGACAGACTCACGGCCTGGCCTCAGACATCCCAGCTGGAGCCTGCATTGGGATCCCTGCCTGCCACGTGGCAATCCAGCATGTGAACCCGGAAGGAAGCCGGCTTCTGTGCACTGAGCCCCTTGGATAAGGCCCGAGTGGCCGGCACAGGGCACAGGCTGGGAGAGGGTTGGCTCGGGCAGACAGTGGGGAGCAGGCTGGTCAGGGTGGTTCCAGGGACCCAGCACCCTGGAATACCCAAGCCCAGCCGGGACTCCCCAAAGAGCGTGGAGTGGCAGTCAGAGAAAAAAACACAAAACAGGTAAAAGAGGAGATAAGGGTTCTGAGCTTCTGAAAGACCCCTGCTGGGGATGCAGGAAATATTCAGGGAGAAGAGACCTGGCTTTCTGAGTCACTCTATCGCTGTACCACAGTAGTGCCCCAGAGGCAGGGAGGCTGGGGTACTAGAAGACCCCACAACAACGCCCCCATCCTAGGAAAGGAGGCAGAACCTGGCACGGACAGGGCCTCTTCTGAGCGGTCCAGGTGAGACTGAGGCCAGACAACTGGATGTTTGTTGTTCCGGTGGCTGGAGAGAGAAGAATGCAGGGAGCGGCCATTGTCAACACAAAGATGTCAAGAGAATCAGTTCTGAGTCAGGCACAGACTACAGCTGCCAAGAGGGGGGCACGACCAACACGACCAGTGGCTGCCGAGGGGGTTCCGTTGAGAGGATGGATGGAGGGTGGCGTCACACAGCACCCAGAACTTGGACTTTAAGGTGTCGTGGTGTCTTCTGGGATGCTCTTTGGGCATCATCCAGTGTCGCCAGGAATCCCAGAGCCATCAGCAGCTGGGGTGCTGCTGGGCCATGGCATGCCTCCGCAGACCTCCCTCCAGGTTAGGGCATCTGCTGGCATCTCCTCCCCTCTCTCCTCCCCATCTCACCTTATCATTCTAATGGAAACTGCCTGACTGCAGGGGGATGGCCAACTGTAGCCACACCAATCAGAGCCTTCCTTCGAGTTCGGATGGGAACTGAGGGCCCCCAACCCCTGCTTTCCCTGTCTCTGGAGGAAGCCATGGGGCAGGAGGAAAGAACCACCATTCAGGAAGAGACAGAGAGGGCGAGCCAGGTAGAGTCTCTGGCTGCGCCTATTTCCAGTAACACCCTGCCCTGTTCAGTTTCTCTGAGCCCATAAATCTCTGACTCTTTTAAAACGATACTTCAAGCCGGGTATCACTTGCTAGCAACCAAAAGGCTTGCAACTAAAACACTGACCCAGCCAGGCACGGTGGCTCAAGCCTAAATCCCAGTATTTTGGGAGGCCGAGGCAAGAAGACTACCTGAGCCCAGGGGTTCAAGACCAGCCTAGGCAACTTGGTGAAACCTCATCTGTACAATATATCAAAAAAATTAGCCAGGTGCAGTTGTGTGCACCTGTGGTTCCGGACTTGGAAGGCTAAGGCGGAAGGATCACCTGAGTCCAGCAGGTTGATGCTGGGGGGTGGCCATGAGCCTGCCACTGCAATCCAGCCTGGGCGACAGAGTGAGACTCTGACTCAAGAAAAAAACAAAAACAAAAACCACATGTCATGTTGTACTCCCTCTTCCTTCAAAACTCACCTTAAATCACATGTATAACACTGTCAGATTTTTTTATCACACAACCCCACACATGTACTTTCCCCTGCCACCAGGAGGTGTGGCCGGAATACTAATGGCAAAGGTCCTTACCGGGAAACTGGCATTTGGCTGGGTCCCTTCTGATTGTTTAGCAGCAAATGCCTCTTTCATGAAGTTTAAGAACACTCTATCTTCCATTTGTTTAACAAGGTTCCATCTTCATTGTATTTTAAAATGTGTAAATGCAAGACTATGAAGGGACAGAAAAGTGACCGTGTGGCCTGTAGTTAGGGAATCCAGCAATGGGAATAAAGGTGAGACAGACAGTGACACCGGCTGAGACCCACTCCGTGGCCTCAGTTGGGCAGCCTGTGGTTCCTGCCAAGCATTTTGAGGGCATTGTAGGACACAAGCAGCCGCAGGCAGAACAAACTGAACTGAAAAGTTCACGGTCATAGTTGCAGTTAACTAAAACTTCTCAGAAACTCAATCTGGCCCAGAGATGAAATACACCTCCAGTTTTTTCCTGCATGGTGGTTTGGCTAATGCTGAAATTTACTGCTGGGATGCAAGACTCCGTGACCAGTGGCCTAGACTGGGGACCTAAGCACCGAGGTTATACCCCCCCCGGGGTAGCTGTGGCTTCTCAGCACTGTCCCCGGGCCCAGGACCCTGTAGCACACTGCGCTGGTCCACCCCTCTGCCCTGGCCCACACTCTGGTTGGTCTGCGGGGGTCAGATATCAAAGCAGGTTCCCTGAGCCACAGATGCGACATCAAACCTCATGGACCTGCAAAGCAACGGAGACACAGCAAATGCTGTGGCTGGTCACATGCAAAATGGGCTCCATTTCTCTTACGAAGGCCCATCCCCCAAAGCCCCAGGTCCTGTCACAGGGGCCTCTGTTCTTCCAGCAGCAAACCCAGTACTGGGATTTTCTCTTCTCTGTTCTCCAACATCAAGCCTCAGTGGCTGCCCCATAGCTGCCGTCACCCTCCCGTGTTAAGGACAGAGCCTGGTCTCACCAGGAATCCTGGGTCCTCTCAGCCACTCCCATCCCTTGTCTCAGCCTTCAGTGACCCTCTTCCTGCCAGCTCACCCCCATAAACCAGGACTCCTGTTAACCTTTCAGCTCCAGTTCCTGCCAGGTGACAGCATGGGGATGAGGGAAGAAGGCCCAGTGATTCCACCCAATGCCAAGAGAGTCTGAGCAGAGAGGAGGGAGGGCCGAGCCTCTGCTCCTCTGTCCTGGGGCCTCTGGGTCCATAAGTTCTCAGAAGCAAGATAGCACCATGGGTCTAAAGCTGGCTTTAGGCCAGTATGATTTTAGGAGCAAGACCAAAATGCAGTTCAGAAGTTGGGTCCATGATTGGGCCATAATGGCATTATCTCTTTCCTAGACAGGAAGTGCCCGTTTCTGAGTCCCTGCCCTGTGCCAGGGTTGGGTGCAGGGGCAGCAGGGGCAGCAGAGCAAGGCCGCTGCCCCGACTCGGCCCCTGGGAAAAGGAAGGAAGACCAGGGGGGTGGGGGAGCCGAGAGAAGGGCTCAGATGGGTCCGGGAGGGCCTTGGAGGCGGGGGTTTGGCTGAGACCCAGGAGGTCCCCTTCGGGAGGGTGTGGCCCACAGCCCCTGTGTACCTTGGTCCCTGGGTGCTCCTCCCCACCCACCCCCACCTCCGGGCCTCAGCTCCTCGGGAGACCTTTCTGCTCCCTCCCTGCCTCCAGCCCTCCCAGATCTTTCACATCCCTGTCACAACACAGACACACTGTGAGGTCCTTGCTGGTGAGCTCTGAGAGGGCAGGGAGGGCCTGGGGCTGCTCCCCCGGTCTCCTGTGGGAGCCCAGTACGTGCTCAAACTAGAATGTACACATGAGTCACCTGGGCATGGCTGAGGGGGCCTGGGAGCGCACACCTCTAAGGAGCCAGGTGCGATCGATGTGGCCCCACAGCACCTTGAGGACCAGGACTCCGGGGCACAATTCAGTGGCTCACAGTCTTGGGTCACTCCTGGTTGTGGCCACCACTGGGCCTCGAATCTGCCTCCTCCGCAAACCACAAACTCCCCCAGGGCCGCACATGTGTCATATAGTCATCCTCTTCTTTTTTGTTTGTTGTTGTTTTGAGACAGGGTGTCACTTTCACTCCCAGGCTGGAGTGTAATGGTGCAATCTGGCTCGCTGCAGCCTCCACCTCCTGGGCTCAGGCCATCCTTCTTCCTCAGCCTCCCAAGTAGCTGGGACCTTAGGCCTGCACTGGCACATTTGGCTTATTTTTATTATTTTTTGTAGAAACAAGGTCTCCCTATGCTCCCCAGGCTGGCTCTTCTTTTTAATAGCTTTATTGAGGTATAATTGACAACAATCAACTCTATGTATTTAAAGCATACAAAGTGATAAACGTCAGTAGATATAAAACACCCATGAAACTACTACCACGATTAACACAGTAAACACCACTTCCAGCAGTTTCCCCCAGCCTCTTGTAATCCTCTTCCGCCTCGCGCCTTCTCTAGGCAGTTTATCTTCCTGTCCTGATAGATTAGTTTACACTTTCTAGAATTTTATACATATAATCAAGCAGTATGTACTTTTTTATATGACTTCTTTCATTCAGAATAATTATTTTGAGATCATCTCTCCTGTGGCATGTACCAATAACTGAGTGCATTTTATTACTGGTAGTATTTCATTGTACAGATATGCCACAATTGGTATATTTGGCTACTACAAATGAAGCTGCTGTGAACATTCATGTATATGTCTTTGTATGGACATACATTTTGTTTCTCTTTGATAAATACTTAGGAATAGAATGGGTGGTCCATGTGGTAATTATAACAAAACAGGGATGGCAAAAAAATGTATATACATTTAGCCAGGCACAGTGGCTCAAGCCTGTAATCCCAGCACTTTGGGTGAGATTACAGAGGTGAGGGGATTGCATGAGACCACAGATTCAAGAACAGCCTAGGCAACTTGGCGAGACCTCGCCTCTACAACAAATCAAAAAATTAGCTGGGCATGGTGGTTCCAGTACTTGGAAGGCTGAGGTGGAAGAATCACCTGAGCCCAGCAGGTCGAGGCTGCGGTGGCCGTGAGCATGCCACTGCACTCCAGTGATGAGTGACAGAGTGAGACTCCAACTCAA